TACAATTTTACGCAAAAAAAAACTACATTTTGAATTTATAATTTTTTCCCTCTAATTTACATGCTTACCGTGCGTGTAATTTACATAGAAGCTTAATATTGGCTTATGTTGTGGCTGTTTATAATTCACGTATATATATATTTTCACAGTGCACAACTAGATGAGTTTTGAAATAATATATGTATATTCAAATATAAATAAATGTATATTCGAAATACGCTTGCAACTCGCAAGGTTTAAGTTACATTTTTAATGGGAAATTCTCAAGGTATTAGAAGGTAAAAAAAAAATAAAAGTTTCATCATAAAATAAACCGCTATTTAAATGCAATAAAAATAAATTTAAATAATCAAAAAAAAAAAAAAATTAATGAATTTGAAACTAAATTTAATACAAGAATATTAAATTCAAGAATTTCATTCGCAAGATAATATTTTCGAGCAATTCGCATATATATGAAAATTGCTCAAAGATGATATAAATTCTTCGATAACTGAGTGGAACTTGAATTTTCAAATATAGTAACATTTGGTATCAACAAATAAATTCAAGTTGATATTTTTTTTGAAAGAGTTTTTTTCTCAAGAATTTCTATATATTTTCTAATGTGGCCTCTATTTAAAGTTAAACATACACAAATTTTTGCTCTTTTTTTCAGAGAAGAACGAAAAAAAAAAAATTGAGCAGTATACAAAGTTTTAGAGCATATGATTGATTACATTTTCCTCGTAGACAAAATGTGTCGATAAAGCAACCACGTGCTATATAAGAGTATAGTGCACAGTGTGGGTGGCTACAAGACGTGCCAACGAAGAAGAAAAAAATGGGCCAAATGACTTTTACGTTCTTCTATTATATACAAGCTTCTCTTCAATATAAGAACCCTCTCGTTTTAACTCATTCCTTCACAAAAAAATTTTCAACGAAACACTTTTCTTTTTTTTTTTTTTTTTTTTTGAATATACAGAGAGTTGTAAAACATCACTGCGTTTCATCCCGCGAATTGAAAAATGATCTCATAAAATAGAAAAACGTTTATTGCCCACTGGCGAAAAGTGTTTTTTTTTTCATTTCAAAATAAAATTGAATTTTAAAAGGATTTCTTTGGATTTGGTTTTTTTTTCTATAAAAAGCAGATTTCTTTAGAAAATAGAAATTTAATGAAATTTCAACCTAAAAGAATAAAAAAACAAAGAATAGATTTGAAAGAATGAAGAAGATCTTTTTTCAAGATATGAGGATATAAAATTTAGAAATGCTTTCCAATTCTACATATGAAATTAAAAGACTATCGATTCTGACAAATTTTCAAGACAAGAAAGATTATTTTATGAGAATTTGGATTCCAGATGTGATATATTTATGATCTTTCAGATTTTCTATGTTTTATCATTTTATATATTTATGTTCTTTAAATAATTTTTGAAATATACTGTCTACATTTTCAAATATTTATACAAATTATATATGTAAATTTTTTATTTCCTTACGAAACATTCATCTTTTAAATTTTAATTTAGAAAATTTGTTTAATTTTTTTTAACTAATTTACATTCATATAACAAACAAAAATTCTAAAATTAATCCAAAAATAAATATTAAAGAAAAATTATTATATATGAAAATCAAAAATAGAAAGAATAAAATTTCCAGTGTTTTGGAATTCTAATTGCAATTAATTTTAAATTCGTGATACGAGAATATATATAAAAAAAAGAAATTTATACATAGTCTCTGAATTTTTAAATATAAAGAAAAAGTAAAAAATTCGACGTTGTTCAATTTCAAGGAAGACTTTTTCGATGACAGAGCCAAAAGCTTTCAAAGTGTTACTTTACGTGCACATATGCTAAGCACTCGCATAAAAGTCTTTTGCGTGAAAAACGTGCCCATTCAGTAGCTATTCGCTCGTAAAATTCAGAGCCACAAAAGCTTAAAAGGAAATGAGGCAAAAACGTGGAAACGTTTTCCTAGAGGGTTGATTCCTTAAGATTCGATGTCTTATCGGAACCTTCTGGTCTATTCTTTATTCCACAGCAGCCTTGCAATAAAAACTAATATATACCATATTATATTAAATTACGTTCATAAAACAAACTCTCACTCATTCATATATATATATATATATACGATAAAATTTACAAAATCAAAAATTTAAAAAAAAAATGCTTTTCAATTATTTAATTAAAAAAAAAATAATTACAAAAACTAATTTTCATTATGAAAGTAAGTGTGATAATAACAATTCAAGGATTAAGCTAATTTTATGTTAATTAACAAAACGTGACAATAAATTACTGGAAAAAAAGCTCTCAAGGGGAATTAATTTTTTATCCACAGAATACAAAAACAAAATCACAAAAAAAGCCGTGGAGATTTAAATTGAGAATTTTAATTATCTAATGCGCTTTTGAATACTGCGCTCGGGACTCGTTCTCGTAATTTACAAATAATTTAAAACACTGTAATTATTTTATTTGGATTGCTAAAAAAAGAGAGAAAGAGCTGAAAAAATACATTCAGCATCGAAATTTATTTGGAAATTCATTACCCTATTAAGTCCTGATGTACAAAAACTATATATATATATATATATATATATATATATATATATATATATATATATATATATATATATATATATATATATATATATAAATCAGCTAGAAATTGTGGTTAAATACCTTCTCTCTCTATTTCGTTTTATTTGGTTGAAAAATATTTACTTATCGACCACGGTTACGTGTTTTGTTCATTAGCAGCAGTGAATTCACTCTGCAACATATTTACACTGCACGATTTCCCAACATTTGACCAAAAGATCCACATCCTAAATTTTAACAAGGATATTGAATTCTTTCTTTTTTTTCAATGAAGAAATCAAACAATATACAAAAATACAAAATTTAATTTTTTACACAGCCTAGAGAATTCTTTTTATTTGAACCAAATATAATTTGTTTGAATTAAATAAAAATATATATTTGTCATAAATAAAAAAAATTTATTTTTGCTATTTTTGAATTAAATAAAATTTATTTGAAAATATTTACATATAGAATTTTTTTTTTCTAGAGTAAAATGAAAACAAAAAAATCCAATTTCTCTTTATATGAAATGTAAATTTGTCAAATTTTGAAAAATGGGAAAAATATTTCAATTTAAAATAAAATGAATGTAAATTTAATAATCGATTTTAAAAAAGAAAAAATGAGAGATATAAATATGTATAGTGAATTTCAGTTTTTTATTAAAAAATTTTTTGAAGGTAAAAATTAAAATTTTGATTTAAAAAAAAAAATTATTATTTAGTTCAAGTAAATCATTCTCCCTTGCTCTTCTTTTCAAAAATAGTCTAGACTTCAGCATCATTAAAAAATGATAAAATCCTGTAACAAAATTGGATCAATAGTCTTTATTTGCGGCCGCGCGCGGCTTCAAAAAAGATAAATAATAAATGATTCAGTTTGAAGGCAGATGTTTGTTTTGCAGATTTTCATATACGGTTAAACAGAAAAAGAAACTGAACAAAGAAAAGTACGTTTCATGAATGAATGATTTGAGAATAGGGCTCTTGATCTATGAAGTGGAAAGGGGGAGGGTAAGTTCGATATAGGGAGAGAGAGAGAAAAAAAAAGTAAGTTCTAATATTCATGCACTCTCTAGGGCTATTTGAAAACTCACTCTCTGATCAATTATAGATTGAGAAAGAAAGAGCTTTGTCTCTCTCTCTCTGATTTACGACTTATTTTTCTCCCCCCGATCACAATTAGTAACGTATTCATCATTTAATAATTGATTTTTTTTTTAAATCATTGTTTTATTTCATAATGATGAAATTACCCTCATTCAATGTTTTAATGGATTATTGAGAGAACACACAATAATTCAATTGTGTCAAGGAATAATAATTTAAATTTTTCCGATCTATTTAAATTACTTTTTTCAAGATGAAAACAAAAAGAAATAATTCTATTCTTATAATAATAAAACGATTTATATAATCATAAGCAGTGGGAAGAAGAATCTTGAATATAAACATTGATGAGAAGTTGTTTTTCAAGTTTAATTGCAATTTATATTCATGAATATCAATTGAGAAAACGTCTCAGTTGAAGTCAATTCAACGAGAGACAATCGTCTTTAGATGAAGTTGAAACTTTCGCAGTTTGCAACAAGTTGATGTCAAAATAAATTAAAAAAAAAAAAAAAACCCTAACATTTCATATCAATTATTAATATTGATTTTTCTTGAAAAAAATATCTTTTGAAGTAACCATATAGAAATGTGATATCAAAAAAAGTTTAAATCTCAAAAGAAATCTCCCAAGAATCATTTTCACAAAAAGTTCAATTTCTTGGACTTGAAAACGATTTAAATTTTAAAAGCCTCCAAGGAATATTGTATATACAAAGTTCGAATAAAAAGAATTGAACTTCTAAAATTAACTGAAAAAAAAGAGAACCGAGTGGGCTAAAATAAGTGTTTTCCACCGGAAAAGAAATGTTTTCATAAAAATTATCAAAATAGAAAAGTGTGAAAATGTCCTTTTTTTGTATTTATAATTTGTTACAATTTATTATTGTTAATTAAAAAATTTCGCTTTTATATGAGAAAAAAAACCATTTTAATCAGTCTCTGGGAAACTGGACCATAAACAAAATTTCTCCTAAAAGCAACTCAAAAAGAGTTTTAATAATAATCTCGATAAAAAAAACATCTTGAGTTCTCTGACATTAAAAAAAAAGAAAAAAAATGAAAACAAACCCGAAATGTCGGACATTGGCGACATCCTTGTCTCGAATAATAAAACGTGAATAAACAAGGGGGTAGAATGCGAGGAAACATCGTCTACATTATACAGGACACGATTTTTATACATCAAATATATAAAACAAAAAAAAAAGATAAAAACAAAATGTTTTTTTTTTTGTGAGACAAAATGAGGTATAAAAAAAAATGGTATAGATATGAAAAAAAAAGAAAACAACAAACTCACCGGCGATGGCAAAGAAGAAAAAGAATATCCACGACGTATCCATGAGTCGGCCGGTCGTGAAGCTGTGGTCCATCACGCGATGCACATATTAAATACTTTTTAATAAAAGGCTTGTTATCTACTGCACGCAGGAACGCAGGACGACGGCGCCGTCTAAAGAAAAACACGCGCCCTCCCAAGTTAAAACGTGTCACGCCGTGACCTCCGACGACGGTCGCGCTTCCTCGTTTTCCTTCACATATTTTCTCTACTTTCAAGGAAAATTTTTATCTCAAAATTGTACACCTTGACAATTTGTCCACACGATAAAAGTGAAATGATGATTGCGTTTTTGGAGTTGATATCACCTTTTTTTTTTCTTTTTTTTTAGTCGTTAGATTTGATCACTGTTGCAAGTGCACGATACATGAGTCTTGTCGTAGTCTTCTTCTGGGATTTTCTACACAGTGAAAAACGCGATTTTAGCTGCAACAGAGAGCTCTCAGCTCACGGACTCACGGAGTATTGACCGGCTTCATGGTGTGGTCTGGTGCATCCGAAGTGGGGGGATGTCCGGGGGGTATCAGACTGCGTGCGCAAGCCACCAACTTAAAAAGCAGAGATAAAAATCCTCCGTGATTTATATTAGAAAAAAAATAAATAAATAAATAAAAACTTGTTAATTTAACAATTAACGAATCCAAAAGAAATGTTTGTAAAATTTCTAAAATTAAAATTATTTTCATTTATTCTTTCAAAAATCTCAAATATTTACCATCTCCTGTTGAATGATTTCCACACTTACACACAAGAGTATCATTTTCAATATATCTATATATACAAAAAAAACTGATATTTATAACACATGTCAGAAAAATTGATATATAACATGAAAAAAAAATATATATTAAAATATTACATTAACTGTTGTAATTATTACCTGGAGTTTTTTTTAAATTCATTATACTTTTTACACAATATTGGTTGGAATGGCCGTTTTTTTTTAGGTTAGTTTTTTTCGCACTTTTTTTAACGGCATAAAAATATGATTTTTCATTTGTTGTTTCATTTGATTCTTATTCCACACTATTTAATTCACATGAAATATTGATATTTTAATTGAATATTCCATTATCATTGATGTATAATTAATAAATTATGAGATATTTTTCGTTAACGGGCAAATTTCAAAAATCACTTCAATCTTAAGATAGTTACTAAAGTCACCGTAGCATGGCGTTGATAAACTTGTCTTTCCTGTCAGTGCTACCAACATATTATCAAAAAAAACAACTTGAAAATATGAAAGAAAATCGTTTTAATAATTAGAAAATACAAAAATAGAAAATTAAAATAATAATCACAGCCATAAATTATAAAATATATGTAAATATTATATAAAACAAAGTTTAATTTATTATTATTAAAATTAAGTATTAGTATTTTTAAATATGCCTCGTAAATTAACCAATCAGAAATTATATGCGACGCGTGCGTATATGATTACTTCCGGTTTGTAGAATTTTAAAGTTTGTTGACATTTTCGACACTAACAATGTTTACGACAATTTTTAAAGTTTTTTTTAATAATAATAAGAAGTGAAAAATATGTTTTATTAGAAATTTAAACAAATGCTTTTATAGTAATCAACAAGTAAGTTATAATTTATTAATAAATTTAAATTTATTTATGAAAAACAAGGAAATAACAATGCTTGTTCTGTTCATAACCTTAAAAAATAATTCCCATATTTTAAAAATAACTTTGAAATATTTGACAATCGTTTAAGTAATAATTAACTTTTATTATTTAAAGTAATAATTTTCTAATTTTAAGAAAAACAATTTTACATTCTCATAATGCTCAGAAATTAAAATATTTTGTATCATTCTTTTCTCAAAACAATGTGTTTTTTACTTTATATTTTTAAATAGAATATGTTTGAATAGTATAATTTATTTTTTCATATAGTATATTTTTTTATTGACATTAAAATATATTTTTCGAAAATAATTATTTTTTTCTTAAATGTCTTAAATTAAAAAAGTACTTGAAAAATTAAGTTAGGAAAAAGTTTAATAATATCGCAAATATTAAGTTAAAATAATTTGAATATATACATACCTAACTAAATAGTTTCTCTACCAAGCCGAACAAGAATATACAATTGAATGAAAAATTGTAAACATATAGAAATAACTTTCCCGCCGCTATTTAAAGTCTGAGAGAAACTTGGAGACGTTTCATTTTTGGCCAGAGTTTCATGAAATTGAACAATCTAAGTTGTCGTCATTACTGTTCTCTTTTTCAGTGTGTGACAATAGTTCTTAGACACTCGGCACTTGCAATTTAGTTGATTTCGCGTCACACACGATGACAAATATCTTGAATGGAATTGGGTCTAAAACAAATGTCTTGGCTTTATGAAGATGTAAAAGCAGGTGTGTATTTTTTTTTTTTAATTTCATATTATAATATATCTAAAAATAAAAATCTAAAAATAAAACTTTTATTAAAATATAATTCATAAAATAGATCGCAAAATAACATTATAATAATAGATTTAAGTACGCAATATAATTTATAAAATTTGAAATAAGAGTTTTTTAATTTATATTTTAACTTTTAATAATAGTTTAATTAAGAATAGTTATTAATATAATTATTAATGCACAAATTTCGCTGCTTTGTAGATATTATTATGTTTGGAAGATTCTTTGAATTCGTTTAATTAATATGCAACAAGAACAAATAATAATTCTCATGATGATAACTGCAACGTCAAATTTTGTGAAAATCAAAGGATCTCATTCATCAATGAGATTAAAATTAATTAAAGAAATTGAAACAAAGGAATTGTTGAAATCAAATTGAAAGAACAAACAATAGGATTAAGTTACATGAATTAATTTATGTTTATTAATAATGAAAAGTTGTCTATTTTTGATAGAATATTAAAAATAACAAAAATTGCATCTATGTAATTCTTCAAATTCAAGTTTAACAAAACAAGGAAATATAAATAATTTAGAGGAAAAAATAAATGAAGAGAAAATAGACTTTATAAAAAAGTAAATAAAGAAGAAAATAGACTTAGAAAAAGTAAATAAAGAGAAAATAGATAAGAAGAAAATAAATAGAAGGGAAAATAAATAGAAAAATAAAGCGTAAAAGAAATAAAAATAACGAAAAATGATGGAAAAAATAAATAAATAGAAAAAAAGTGAAATAAATCGTTAAAAAAATCGATGATTACATAATATACAGGTTTCATCTTTTATTCGATAATAATTTTTTTTTCCCCCTTTTTACTATGGGAAACTGGGTGAATGCTAGTGCAGATATTTAAAAAACGGCCACGGACGCCTGGGAATAGAATCACTTTTCGACGGCACCTAGATTCAATTTAACGGAGCAGATTCTATGTCTATATACAAACACAAAATTCTTTAATTACGACGAAGAAAAATTCAATCTAACTTGATTATTGTTTTTTATATTTCGAAATTTGTTTTACTGGCTAAAAATAAATTGAATTAATTTTACAAGTGAAGATAAAAAATATTTTCGATTTTGTGAAAAAAATAATTGAGAATTATTTTCAATATATAGATAAAATCAATTTTTCAGAATTTTAAATATAGAGTTTGCTAATTAAGACAATATGAAATTTCAAACGTGTAATTGGGTCATACAATGTACTGGAGAATATCATAACTATATATATATATATATTGATAGAGGGTAAGTAATCGAATATCGGAAGTATCGAAAATAGTCATGAGTCATTAATAAACAGTGAACCCACATATTTGCAGTTTCAACGTTCCTAGAACGAATTTTATGGCTTGGATTGAAAACAAATTTTCGAATAAGAAATTTTCATATATATGAATTTACGATTATATTTGAACAAAGAAACAGTTCTTTTTAAATTTCTTTTTAAACATTTATGTATACATTCTTTGAGAAAGAGTGAAAAGCTTCATGCGCGGGGAGGCATATTTAAAAAAAAAAAGGAAATGAAAAATTGACCACCCGAAGATATTGTAGGGCCAAGAAAATGTATTTCACATACGACGTTGAGTGTTTCTTGGATAATTTTAGATTGAGAAGATAGCGACTTTGCCGCACATGAGAGAGAAAGAAAATTCAGGAGAGGAAATAAGATGGTATGGAAACCACCAGCAAGTGGGACGTGAAAGAAAAAGAGTGGAAGAGGTAAAAAGCGAGATGGAATGATGAAGTTTCGGGTGTGAGTATAGTCTCTCGTTCGCGCAGTTATGCCGATCAGCTTCGACTGTCTGTCGCCAATTAAATTATTATACTTCAAATTTATTAAATCACTGCGTGACAGAAGTGTTGTAAATCGAAAAAAATGTGATTGCTAGCCAATAATCCTTTTAATGGGTTATGATTAGTTGAAAAATTTTGTCAACAGCTATAAAAAAAATCCAGGGTAGGTGTTATACATATAAAAAATATAATTACAAAAATTTTAATTCAATGCAATTTGTATAAATTAACGAATTTATAAATAATAATTTATTATTTTCATAATAATTTTTGAATTCATTATTTTATAATTAATTTTTTATTTTAATTTAATTTTTATCATTAATGTAAAAATAGTCTATAAATAATAAATTTAATTGATTGAATTTAATTCAAATGTTAACAAATTAATTTAATTGACCTAATTTTATCAATCTAAATCAAATTTTAATTAATTAATTTAAGCAACTTAATATAATTTCGTTTTGTGTTAAAATTTCATAAAAGAAAATCGAAAATTGCATTGATTTAAAATAAAATATTAATAGACACAGGAAAAAATTTTGATTTTCAAAAGAAACAACATTCTTAAGAAAAATATAATTTTTCTTGAGATTTAAAGAGAGAAATTTTCTAAAATTTTTCATTAAAAAGGGAAAATTAATTTCAAAAATTTATAAATTGATAAAAATCATAGAAGCAAAATTGCCTCCAAAAAGGAGAAAAAAGAAATAAAAATGTTATTGTCGACATGAATGTGATTCTCGTACTTCATTAAGATGATGGCAGGAACAGGAGTGAATATATCAGGAGCTGGGATGTTGAGGGCAAGAAGGAAAGATATCAGTATCAAACCAAATAGAAGATTAGACAGAAAGTCTTCGCGTGGAATGATTTACGAAAATGAGGAACTCAGACTCCGAACTATTCATATCAATGCTGCAATCGAGCAAGGTAAAAGTAAAGGAATCGGAAAATTCAATGTAGAAAATAATTTTTCTTAATTTATTACAATTATAATAAATGATAAAAAAAAAGAGTTGAAACATAATTGAAAAATTATTTCCAATACAAAGAAAAAAAAATTAATTAAACGATTTCAAAAATAAATGTATATGAAAAATATAATAATTATTTAACAATATGAATAATAATAATAATTTTCTGATTTTCAAATAAAAATTAATATTATTTATTTTTCAGGACAAAACGATATAAAAAAATTGCGGAAAGAGAACGAACAACTACGGAGGGAAATATGGTGCCTAAGAGATGAATATGATAAATTAGAGGAAATCTTAAGGAAGCAAAAGAGTCATGATGGTAGCGATGAATGTGAGGTACATTGGAAAATTTTATTTTTAATATATTTGAATGACAAGCTTTATATGTGCAATAACTAATACAATTAGCATTAACATGATCCCATTTTTTACAGATTACATTAATTTAAATATATTTAAATTTTTGTAATTATTTCTTAAAATTTATAATTATAATTTTCAATTCATATAAGAATTGTTTTTTTTTTTTTGCAACAAAAATATTTGGTTGTAACAATATAATTTTCGTGTCGTTGTGATTGCTTTTAGCTTCATGTTTTTCAACGATTATTATTTCTATCCGCAAGAAGTGTAGTCACGCTGGCCCAGCGAGAGACTGGAACTACGAAAACAACTAAATTTCTGGGTCCCAAGCTCCCAAGGTACTTACAAATAGCTTGTAATATGCAATTAGACTTGCATTGCTTTTTATTTATTAGTTATAATAAATTTTTTTTTTACTAATTGCCAATTTACTAATTTATCAATTTTTAAAAAAGGAAACAATAGCATGTGATCCTAAAATTACATTCCGATTGGAAAAAATTCAAAATTTTTCATTTTACCTGCGACAATTTGTGTGAAAAAAAAATTGACACAGGTGACCTGACTCAAAACAATACCTAAAAGTAAATTTTTTGGTATTTTTGAAATTGAACTTAATCATATAAATAGAAGTCGATTTATTGGAGAAATGTTTTCAGAGTCGTTCAGAAGATAATGAAGCTTCACAATTAAGTAACTCTGAAAGAGGTGAAGAAGATATTAATGATGATTTTTTTGATGACGTCGATGCTGAAAATGATGACAATGAAACGATTTGTAATAATATTGACAATAATATTCAATGCGAAAACGATGACGACGACGATGATGATGATGATAATAATAATGATGATGATGAGAACGACGATAATTATAATGAAAATAATGAGGATAATGAAGATTACATTAATGTTGAAAATCGAGAACACAAAGAAAATAAAAAGGAAACAAAGAGAATTGACAACGATTCATTGAAAAATCCAGATATTCAGAAATTCGAAAAATCCAAAGAATCAGAAAAAATAAATAATAAAATTCAAAGAATCACTTCAGAAAAAATAAATAATAATCTAGATCATCTTCAAGTAGATTTTGATGGTTTGTCAATTGTCGACGAAGAAGAGGAACAAAAGAAAGGACGAAAGTACGATGACGATTTAACAGACTATAATGGAATTAATTCGACAAATTCAAAACAAAATTTATTTTCAAGTTCAATTTTTAATACCAATCCATTTATTTTTCCAAATGTAAATCATACATCATCACAAATTTTTGATTCTACATCGACTCCAAAATTAGATACTTCCTTATCAGAATTCAGTAATTCTAAACTCGCAAAATCGCCCAAACCTTCTGTTACATTTGAAAATCATTCACCAAATAAATTTTATCTAGATAGTTCTAGATTTTTTGCCGAAAGGAATCAAAATCACGTCAATTTAGAAAATCAAACTAGAAAAATGGAAATTTTCAATCCCAACGAAATTGAGAAAGGAACCTTATCACCTTTAAACGTAAGGCCAAAACAAATTTTCGCGCCTTTGAAATTTAATACTTCGCGAAAACTATTTTTTGCGAAACAATCGGCAAAATCACCAAATGATTTCTTTTCAAATCATTCACTGGAAAATGAAATAATCACAAAACAATTATCAAGAAACAATCAACAATCATTGATAAATGAATGTCAAGATAATAAAAGTAATGATAAAATTATTTCCAACAATGTAGTGATAAATAAAACACATGAAAAAATTTTTAATTCAGAAAAACGAAAATCCATCAGTTTGGAAAATTTGTTTCCCAATAAAATGCAAAATGAAACAATGAATAGTTTCAAATTATTCTCATCGTGTCGAAATTTAAATTCAGAAAAGAAAAATGTTGATTTTCTCATAAATAATGGAAATTTTCCAAATACAAATAAAAATTCACAAGACAATCCTTCAAAATCATTTAAATCACAATTGAGTGTTATTCTAAAAACTCCAACAAATATATTATCGAAAAAAAATTTACAATCACCATCAACAAATTGTCAATCATTGAATAATTTATTTTATCAAAATGGAAAAGAAATCACTCCAATAATGAACGATAATAATGATAATGAACATTATCATGGTTATCAAGCAACATCATTCGAAGGTCCTTTTCCAATAACATTACAAATTCCCTCAATGATGCCAATTGATGTTGATTATAAAAATATGCCCTTTTTAGCGAGAAAATTCTATTATCCCAATGAGGAGATGAAATTTGTTTACGATTCAATTCCACAAAAAATATCCGCTCACACACAAACACTTGACGAAGATATTTTACAGGAGTCCAATGTTGTTCGTGGTAAAAAGGATTTAATAAGAACAAAAAGTGAATCATTAAGCAAGGACACAAATTGTAGTCGTAAAAAAAGTACAAAAAAGGAGAAAATTGAGAAAAAATCGAATGTCGATCGAAGAAAACGTGATGTTTTAAAGAATCAAGTTTCAATATCATCATGCGATGAATCAGAATCGCCAAATGCAATAATTACATCATCAGGAACGAATTTTGATAGTCGGGAAAATAAACATGAAAGTCGATCGTCATCATCCGATGTGGATTCACAAAGAAAGGAACAAACACATCGTGTGTCAATTTATTTTAATTCAAAAAAAAGACCTTCTCTAACATCAATGAAGAGTACTCGAACTATGGAAAATTCCAGAAATAAAATCATTCCTCAAAAAGATCATTCAGATGGGAATTTAGGTGAATCAATAATAAACTCTGTTAATAGTAAAGAAATTGGTAATAATAAGAGACGAAAAACAAGTACGAGTAGTGAAAATGTTCCATGGTGCGCGTGTTGGGGTAATGGTTGTATTTAAATCAGTGACGAAAATCAAAAATTTATTCATATTTTTTTTTCTAAATTATCTGCAGTTCTTTTTACTAAAATTAATTTTTTTCGTCTCTGATTTAAAGAAAAAGAGTCATTCCATTTTTAAGGATCAAAGGCTGTACAATAGAAAGTCATGATTAATGACGTCAAATTACACAGAAAATAAATATAGTTAGTAAATTCTGCTCTTTTTATAAAATATAAAATAATTTTAATTTATAATATATGTTAAAAAAAAACTTGTGTTGAAATTTACAAAATAAAAAAAAAAAAAATTTGCAAATACTATTTTTCATTGAATACACGTTTTTTCTTTCTAAATAACTAACACATTATATCATTATATATATATTTAATACCAATCAAGATGCGCTAACATATCACATACATACTTAACTCTAAAACACTTAGAATTTTACCAAATAATAAGAGTAAAAAAATTGAAATTCATAATTTCATAAAACTTGAATAATAAATTGTGAACTTAAATCGTAAAATGTTGCAAAAATTGCAAATAAAAGAGAAATACATAGAAAAAAAAAACTATCATGGAATGTATAAAAAGTGTTTGCAAGTGAAGTGCTCGTAAAAAATAAATAAACAAGTATTTTTTTATCCCATTTAAATATCTAATACGAGAATTAAAACAAATGTAATATTAGATTTAAATCATCTTTAGCAGTCCTCCATTTTTTTTAAACTCTTAAAAATTCACTGGTCTTTCTTTGCTGACGCTTGTTGAAAACTAGGAGGACTTTCCTGGAAATAAATGTTATATTTTATTAAAACTGCTTCTTTACTTTATATATATTTAAAATTAAATTATTTTTAATTAATACTTACATAATATGCTGGAGGCGGTACATAAGCGCATTGAGGTTTATTGGGATCATAATAGGCACTTTGCGCAGCTTCAGCAGCCTTTGCATCTATTAGAAGAAAAAAAAAATTATAAATCACAACAAAATTCTAAAAATATTGTAATTACTTTCTAATTGTTAATTTTTTTTTAAATATATTGAAAGGGAAGACGATTCATGCGTCAGAAAATTGCAATTAATACCAATATTTGTGCATTAATATGTTTTTTTAAAAATTAAATTTGTCATTTAAAGAAATAATTATCTTTGTATTTTGATATACAATTTCTCAAGCATTTTTAATAATGATACAAATATGATGATAGAATATTATTGGAGGGTGTTGCACTAATCGTTAAAATCGATAAATAGCTTAAAAAAAAAAAATTTTTTTAATAAAAAACAAGAATAAAATTTCTCTAACGGATGAATAAATTCAATATGAATTATTTTATAACGTTTGAATTCCTATCTGAAGAAATTATTTTTATACGACACGTACCTGCGCACTATTTCCAGGTGATGCTGATCGTCTGCACATTATTTATAATATAAAATTGCAAAAAAATAAAAAATAATACTGTTCTTTATTTATAGCAGTGCCAAAAAAAGAAATTTTTTTAAAAAGTAAAATCACGATTTTTTAGCAATACATCCGTTTAGAATTAAATTCAAAACAAAAATCTATTTAAATTATTTCTTAAAATTTTCTTTTGTCATAGTTTTTATAGGTGAATTGGTTTTAAAGAAATTAAAAACCAAAAATCTTAAATTTAAATTTATTTTCAAAAAAAATTAAAAGGATAATTTAATTATAACTATTACTGTTAGTTCATACTTTTTATAAATAAAATTATAATTTTAAATATTATTATCATTTATTTATTTGGGGGAAATATTTTATATCGCAAAAGTATTTTGAAGCAAATTTTCTGATACGTGTCTTCTTTTTAAAAATAAAAATATAAAGTGTAGATAATAACGAGAAACTAGTTTTCAAATATACACACATTATTATATTTTATTATCCAAGCAAATTTTTGTTATATTTCTTTTCCTATAACAAATAGATTACTATTAAATAATAATTGATTAGCGAAATAATTAATAATTCCATACAGGATATTATATCGACAAGCAAAAATAGGTTGGCAATTAATTTTCAATAAGTAAAAAAGCCGAAAAAACACTACGCTTATTTAAGGAAAAATATTTTATAGTATTTAATTCGTTGTCAATTATTTCTTGAATAATTTTTTGTTTTAAACAATTTATCAATTAAAGCTTATAATCACATTATTTTAGTGGGTATTTTTAGAATTTCTGATTTATATATAGATAATAAAAATTTTTATCTTTGTAAACCTTTTTTTTATATTTAGTAATTTTGGTTATTTGTTATTATTTTACTATTTCTATAAAATAGTAACTTTATAATTTTTTTCTTTTTTTTTTTTTTAATGGTAAGGCCCATATTGCGGTTGTCCATATGGATTATTTTGTGGGTATGAAGTGTACGGTGGTGGATATTGTGGATAGTTATTGGATTGTCCATTATTTGGGTACACACCTGCTTGAGGAGTTTGTTGATTATTGTAATTTGGATTAGCCCAAGCAGGTGCTCCATTTTGATGTTGTGGTGTCCAACCTGGTTGTTGTCCCCAAGCACCATGTTGTTGAGGATTTCCTCCGCTCGCGTAACCTTGATATTGTGCATTTATTCCCGGATACGGTGGTGGCATATCTGTCATATAAACGCTGTTTGCTAAAAAATGGAATATTAATTAATAAATTTATTTTCAAAATTCATTTTATGTGGAGTTTCTTTTCAAAATTTACCTGGAGGAGCATCGGGAAAAACATTGGTTGGTGGTGACCAACCATAATATCCAGTTGGTGCTGCTTGATAAGCTGGAGGAGGTGCAGCATACCAATTTGAAGTTGGTGCTTCATATGGAGGTGGTGCATCAAATTGCGGACCATTACGTTGAGCTAAAAGAAAAATATTCAAATAAGAATTGTAAAAATTACATTAAATAATAATAAATAGAGAATAATAAATAAACCTATTGAAGCAGCTCTCAGCATAGCTTGTCCAAATTCAATTGCTCCGCCACTTTTGAAATAAAGTTTAAATTTGCATTCACCAACCCAATTTCCATTGGCTTGTGCTCGACATTTTCCTTTAATATAATTTGAACCAAAAACTGGCTGTTCAAGCTCAACTCCAGATAATGTGACAAATGGAAAGCTGAATGATTGCATTTTTTCCTTATGATCTTTGGCATTGAAAATCATTCGATGTGTAGTCAAATAAAGTCGTCCTTGTTTACGTCCAAGAAATTCCGGTTGTTCTTGTCCATGAAATTCCATGGAAACATTGTCACAGAAAAGTAAAATGCTAAAAAAAAATATGAAATAGAAAAATAAATAATTTGTTTCTATTATATTGTGTGCAAAAATTGCGACAATCTACGTCTGACAAGACTTGACGTTTATCGTAATTTAACAATTTACTTAATACATATGTTTCATTTGTCATTTTCATTAATTGTTAAATTGTCGTCAATTTTAGATGACAAGTAGTTAAAAATAGATTTTTATAAAACGAGAATTCTATTATTTTAAACAATCATATGTTAATATTAAATAACTTTTTACTTTCTCTCAATAATTATATTTTTATACAATATGACGCAATAATAATAATTACTAATTAATTATAAACTATTGTTTAAATCCGCATGACGACATTTCTAAAATTCTTGCATGAACCGGTAAAATTATTTTATTCCAATTATAGATTTTCAGAAAGTAATTTATAATAAATTTCTATTTTATCGAGAAAATTTTATTATCAATGAGGTAAAACAAATATCAAGTTGATAAAATAGTGCAGGTATGTACAAAATAGAAACGTCACAAGTAATCGGTACTATACATTTGACAATAACAAATAAAATGATGAAGATTTATAAATTTTTTTTTACATACCACTCTCCTGAATGAATAAGCACTCCCCCATTAGCGTGTGCAGTATTTAAAGACATCTTGAATGTCTTTAATATTTATTATAAATTCTTTTTAAATGTCCTCCTGATGTTTAACTCTTAATCCGCAGTATCTGTCAGCTGATTCATACTTCATAACGTCATCAAACTATAGAAGAGGGTGGGATTGCTACTGACAAAACTTTAAAAATACTATTTACCAATACTTGCACTGTACTGTCAAAAATATTTTTAATTATTTCATTTCAATTGAGAAAATTTATGTAATTCGTTGTTTATTAGAAAAGAAAAAAAGAATATGTAGTTAAGAATTTTTATATAAAAAAGCAGACGACAAAATATTATTACGTCAAGCAGGGTTGGGTTGCTAAATAAGTGAAAAAAAACAATCGAACATACGATGGATTTCGTCATACTAGAAGATTTTTAATTTTTACCACTTTATTAAAAATGATAATTTGTTAATGAATGTTAATAAATTAATCTTTTTTTAATTAAATAATTAATCACAATTTCAAATAAAGATCGATTAGTTTTCTTCGATATATCGAAAGCAATCGATATCCTCTAACTGCTTGCTCATTGGTCCTCCCGCTTAGCCAATGAGGTTATTGGGACTGGACTAGGGCCAGGCAGCGCGCGCAGCGCGTCAGTATGCTGTTAGCTTTCGGATGGGTAAGTAGTGTTGTAGTTTCGGACTTGCGATAAAATATTTTTTTTTAAGAGATTATAGTAATTAGCAAGATGAATATATTATTTACCCTTCCGGGCTACAGTTTGTCGAAGTTTATACCCCTAAGCAAATTTTATTACTCCATTATTCGTTCCGCCATTTTGTATACGTAGAGTTGCAAATTGGATTAGTCCAACTTTCATGATCGAATAGTATAGAAATGGATTAGTTCATTAGTTGTTCCGCCATTTTGTATTAGTCAAAATTTCGCGAATCGGATAAAAAGTGTTGAATTGGATTAGTCCAAGTTTCGCGATTCCAAATATAGAGGATTGGATTAGTCCATTATTAGTCGGTCCGCCATTTTGAATACGTAGAGTGCCAAATTGGATTAGTCTGAGTTTCGCGATTCGAATAAAAAGTGTTGAATTGGATTAGTCCAAGTTTTGAGATTTCGAATAGGATATTGGATTAGTCCATTAGTCAGTCCGCCATTTTGAACACATAGAGTGCCGAATTGGATTAGTCCAAGTTTCGCGATTCCAAATGGAGGATTGGATTAGTCCATTATTAGTCGGTCCGCCATTTTGAATACGTAGAGTGCCGAATTGGATTAGTCTAAGTTTCGGGATTTCGAATAGGGTATTGGATTAGTCCATTAGTCGGTCCACCATTTTGAATACACATCAGAGTGCCGTGGATTGGTCCAAGTTTCGCCATTTCAGATTCAGAGTGTTCCGCCATTTTGTTTTCTTGTTCAACAAAGTATGTTAAAAGTACAAGTTCGCGCGGTTTATTGTGTTCAAGTGCATCGTTTTTGTCTAAAAAATTATATCAAAAAATTCATTATTTAGAAGTCGTCGCGATTAGGGAAAATATGTCGTGCGGGAGTGTAATTATTACTATTTATTATTATTTTTTTTTGTGTGTGTAGTGCAATTAAAAAAAAAATTCTTTTTAGTTTTTTCGTTAAAATAAAGTGTGTGTTCGTGTTTGTGATCAAGATCAAAAGGACATCATGTACTCAGTCTAATTATTCATCGGCTGTCTCCTCGTATCGTAGAAATTCGCCAATGGTGAGTTTTTAAAAATTAATTAAAACTTTTTAATTTATTTATTATAATTAATGTTCTTAAATTTGTTTAAATTTGTAATGTTTTTCAACAAAAAATTATCGAATTTATCCTTTAAATTTGCTACTTTTTGAGAAAAAAAAATATTGAAAGATTAATATTATAACCATGTGATAGAAAAGGACAGATTCTTTATTTTTACGTATAAAACGTAAATGTTAAATTTCTTTTACGAGGTCGGTAAATTACCATGTTTATCGAGAGCCATCTTGCGGGAATGCGTGAAAAATCTTTTACTTTATAATTTATCGACTGTTCACTGTAAGAGATAAGAGTTGTCTCTAAGACTCCAATTCGAGTAACAATTAAAATAATGACAAACCGATAATATACAATATTTATGAAAATATCAGTGAAATAATAGGTGAAAATAGTGTCAGTGTATTATAATGGCTTCTGCATATATTAAAGATGATCAAGGTATGTTGGTTTATTTTTTTTTTTTAAATAATCAAGCTACCCTGTTTGCTATTTATAACCTTAAAAAGGTAAACAACTTATCGCATGCCTGAAATAAATACATGTCTTCCACAATAATCTAATTGAAATAATTTGATTAACCTCGTTTTAGATTCTTTCTATGTTATTAAATTTTTTTACATTGCTAAATATTCGATTGTAAAAACTTTTTATTCAGAATATTCTGTTTTTATTCTCACTATACATTTATTCTATTTTTATCACATCTCTACTAGATTTCTACACATCTTTTCGAAAAAAAAAAAGAAAAAAAAATATTTTTCAGAATATTCGAGATAAATGTACATTTCCTATTTATTCCATTCCATTTATATTTCTAGAATTTTTTTTTTTTTAAATTATATTGATAATTGATGTTAAAGAATAATTTATATATTGTTGATAAAAATTATAGATCTTATTTTTAAAGTTGACAAATTTGATTTAAATTAAATTGTTCTAAATTTTCAAAAGATTTTTTTGTGGAATTCATATCAGTTTTAAGAGTAATGAGAGATATTAATAATAATTTTATTACAGGCGGAACATTTATTCCTGCTAGTCAACGTCCAGATGGTACGTGGAGGAAACCACGTAGAGTTAAAGATGGATATATTCCCCAAGAGGAAGTTCCTTTGTACGTTGCTTTTTTGATATTTTTGAATATTAGAAATTTTTAACTTCAATTTTTTGAAATATCTGTTTTTTTTCTTTATATTTTTAAATTAAAAAATCACTTTTCTAATATAAATATAAATATTTTCTAATATTTTTTAGATATGAAAGCAAAGGAAAGGAATTTGTAAAAAATAAACCTATTTATCCAGTGGGTTTCTCGCCCGAATTTATAGCAGCTCACAAAGCTAAAGTAGAAGCCCAGGCAGCAAAAGCATCTGGTGCTACAGGTTTAATTGTTCAAAATGATGCTGCAAAGAAGAAAAAGAAGAAGAAAAATAAAAATAAAGGCACTAATGTTTCGGAGAAATTATCCGAGGCTTTAGAAAAAACGACAATCTCAGAGCCTGTTGTTTGTAAACCACAAAAATTACCCAATAATACAGTGCAATCGGGAAAAATTAATAAGTCTGAAAATACGGAAAAAGAATCTGAAATTGTTGATCCGGCAAAGAGGTTGAAAACATTAAAGAAGAAAATTCGGGAAATAGAAACATTAGAACTTAAAATTAAAAGTGGCGATATTAAAAATGCTGAAAAAGAAATGCGAGATAAAATTTTAAAGAAAGCATCTATTTTAAAAGAGATTAAACAACTTGAAAAAAGTCAATAGTTTGAAAAGAAAAAAAAAAAAAAAATTTACTAAGTCTGAAATATAATTGTTATTCGGAAAAAAAAGATAACTTAGATTAATTTTAAAATTTCTGAATTTGTCTAAAATTGTTTATATATTACTTTATACACGATCTAATTCCACTAAATGTTGTAGCTTTTATCTAATTGATTTATTGAATTGTAACTTTATACACATGATTATTAAAGTGCATTATAAACTATATATTTAGTTTATCAACTCCCTTTTGTTTTTTCTTTAAATAAAATAGTAACTTGAGGTTATAATTGTCACACACATTATTTTATTGAAAATATTGTATCAAATTTGAAAATTTAAAAGAATCAATGAAATGTGGGCATGTTGTGCGATCTTATTAATTGGTACATTTATTTGTGTTATAATAATTGTTCCATTGGCTATTGTCTATTCTGTCAAGTCAAGTGTCATTCAACCTTTTTCGAAATTAAAGGAATTTGAATTTGATTATTGAATAAAAAAGGTAATTTTGCAGAAAATAATTTAAATTCTTTTTTCGTAATATATAAATTAAAATTTGTCTGTGATAGGAAAATTTTATTGCACATATTTATAATATAATTGTCATAGTAAAATATTTTTTTAAACTACACAATTAAAAAGTAAATTTTATTATTAAAAAATTTTATTATATAATTGAAAAATTATTAATTAATTAATTATTTTATTAATTTGGTGTAAAATATTTTTTTAGATTATCAATAATGATCAGTGTTGAAGACAATTGAAAAGAAATTTTATCACATGACTTGGCTCTGTGCTCTTTTAATTCAAGTTTATCTTGTTATTTGGGGAGTTATTAGTTATTATTGTCACATATTGATTTTATTTTTTTTCTTTATTTGTGTAATACCATCACTTGTTTATTATTTTTATTATTATAAATTAAGTTCACAATTGGAACCTACTGAAGATCCATTGGACATATCTGTTACTGATTTTACACTTCCAGATTATTATTAAAGTTATTATTATTAATTTTTTTAAATAAATTGAAAAGAAATTAATGTGAAAAAATTTTTTTTTTTGGAAAAAATTTATACAATATCTAGAAAAAATAATGTTGTGTCAGTGTAGAGGCGACAATCGTGAAAATGTTCATTTATGGTGCAAATTTGTGTTAACAATGATAGCTTTAATTGTATTTATTGCTTATTATTATATATGTAGATATCCACTAGAAAAAGAATCTAAATGCTAATTATTTTTTTTTGGTGATTTAATTAAATATTTGTAAACTTGTTATGTAATTTTTTTTATTATTAGATCTACAATATAAATTTTCAATTATTTTTGTGAATTGTTAAATGAATTATTTTTAAATTTATTTATATTTAATATTCATTCCATATTTAATTTAGTTTCGTCAGAATATTATTTTTAGAAAATGTCAAATTGAATATTTTGTAATCTATTTATTTAAAGACGATTTCAACCGATGTTAATTTAATTAGTTGAATATTAAAAATCATTATAAATATTTTTCCTTGACAAAATGGGTTAGTTATTTACAAAATTTAATTCGAATTTAGTAATTCACAGAAATTATTAAAATTTATATTTTTTATTCTTATTTTATATTTTAATATGTCTTTTTTTATTGGTCTTATTATTTTTAAATTTTGTCACTCAACAATTGCTACTAAAAAAATAATAATAATATGGAAAAAATTTTAAGTATCATAAATTTTAACTTTTTATTTATTATTATTCTTTGGTCTTCGTTTACCGATTCTTCGATGTGTTTTAAAAAGAAAACAAATTTTATTACCAAACTTTTAAAAATGATAAACATAGTTTAAATAAATCATATATATTTATGCTTATTTTTGGTACAAAAATAATATACAAAAACGTTACTATAACAAATTCGTCGTAAATAATATTCCACTTTTTTCGTTAGACGGAGACAAGTAATGGATAATAATAACTTATTTATATTTCTTAAAATACCTGAAGTTAATATACGAAAACATTAATCTTTGAAAGATATGACTTTCTCACATATTACATATGAGTTAAAAATGAGAATTTGAACGTTAAATACAATTTGTCAAAAATTAAAATTTTTTTTGTAAATTCAATATATTTGTAAAATTTTAATTAATTTTTTTGTTAATCTTATATGCTAATGAAATTAGAAATAATTTTTATTTATTATTTTATATGATAGAAGATATAAGGGATGTACTTGGAAGAAGCAGAGCCATTGTGTCGAGAATATAATGACTTGGCAAAGCTTTCAGTAACACAATTCAATGATATGAATCTATTGAAACAGTTCGGGATTTCATATTTAAAAATCAGAATTCATAAACATGCTATGACTATTTTTTTTATTAAAAAAAAGGTTGCTTTAAATAAAATAGATAATTAATTTTGAAATAATTTTTTTGAAAATTGATATTTTATAAAAACCGCAAAAAAATAATAATTTATTTTATTTATTAATTTAATTAAAAATATTTATTAATGAAAAAAACCAAGGCAATTGAATTCCACTTATTTTTTTTTTGTTATTATAAAACATCTTGGAGTTTTCAAGAGATTTAATAATTTTTAAAAGAAGTGTGTTTATAATTTTTAATTTTGTTAGTTAAAAATTACATTTAAAAAATATTTTAGTATTTCTTTTTTTATTTACCAACTGCAAACTGTAATTTTTATTTTTATACAATGTGATATGTGAGAGAAGTGTCGACAAATATAATTCCCCTAAGGCTTGTAAAATAAGTCAACTAGAAAAAAAAGAGGCAGACGTCTGAAAAAACTTAACTCTTCTACATTATAAAAAATACTGAATAAACATTATTATATTACTAAAAAAAAATTATTAATTATTCTATTATATTTAAAATATACTTTTATAACAATTATAATATTATAATTTTTACAATAAAATATTAAAGATAGCCTTACTTTAAAATTCATATTTTTGAATATTTTTTGAAAAATCGTTTTGACCCATTTTTAAAAAATTCATGCACCAGTGATAAGTGGAAAGCATATGTGGTATATGATTATATATATGTATATTAAATATATTTCTAGGTAAAATTTAATTCTTTTTCAACTATTTTAAAAGGGCTTAAATTTCGTATGAGAAAAAAATATATAAATTTTTCTTTATATATATATATAAATGATCATTATTATAAATTTATTGTAAACAGACTTTTTGAGGGCAATCTAAATAGCCTGATTTAAATATTTTTTTATACGATATATACTATACAATTCTTATAGAGCCCCCAAACATATTTAAAGAAGTTTTGGAATATTTATCAAAGATTCTTCTTGACCTATTTTTAAAAATTCATGCTCGAACGAAAATTGGAAAACTTGCTGTAGATTTTCACCAATATGGTATCGCATTCTATTTCAAATATTTAAACTTTAAAAAATTAAGTACCTTCGCAGAGAGACAAATCTTTCTTTTATAGCATAGAGCAATTTGTACTATTAACTAATAGGAGAGATCCATATATAGGAAAGTTTCATTTTTTTATAATTTAAAAACGATGAATCAAATTATAAAAAAAAAAAATTATAAATTTTTTTTTTGTGACTAAAAAAAATAATAAAAAATTGATTGTGAAAAAATTGCTCTTATGTTTATAACCAAAGGCAAACTGTGAAGCTTTAAAAAAAATATATATATATTCTGCTTGTAAAATCAAGTTTTCTTTGAGAAAATATAATATTTTCTAACAAAGCTTCCCCAGTTCTTTTATATAAATAATATATATTCTAGGATAGATTGTAAATAGATTTATCTATATTTGTATATATACGAGAGAAAAAAAAACGTCGGACGTGGAAAAATTTATTTAACTGAAATATCTAACAGTTAAATAAATTTATATGCTCAATCAATTGTTTGTGACAATCAATAATTAGATTACACATCTAATTATAGTTATGGTTGTTTTACCTGATTGACTGGAAAATTTTTCACATAAAAATAAATTTTGATTTAATTAACAAAAAAAAAAAAAAATGAAATTTTCTTGTTTTTCTATAAAATTTTGTTGATTTTAAGTTTAATTTTTTTTAAATTTGAATAATATACTAAATTTTGGTTAATTTAATAAATAATTCTATTTGAATTAATTAAACCAAGTTTGTTTTTATTTAATTATAAAATTGTTTCTTATTTTAAAAATATTCATTTCTTTTAAGAATAAATAAATATTATTTTTATTAAATAAATATTTATTTGTATCAAATAATTATTATTTTAATCAATTAAATGGTATCACAAATACAATATTTATTTAATTCAAATAAAATTTATTTTGCTTAAGTAAATATTTATTTGATAATAGTCAAGTAATCAAGTAATTTGAATCAAATAAATTTTTTTTTCAGTGTGTTTAAGTAAAAAATAAATACTAAATAAAAATTTTATAAAATTTATTTTAATTACATACTCTCTAAATTTGAATTAGTAAAAATGTTTACTAATTTAAATTAGTGACTCATTTTTTGCTTTAGAATTAGTTAAATTTGACTAATTTGTCAGCAAAAGTTACTAATAATTAATAAAATATTACTAATTCGGAAGCAAAAAGTGAGTAACTAATTCAAATTAGTAAATATTTTTACTAATTCAAATTTAGAGAGTAATGAATACAGACCCCGCTTTAAATTTTTAAATTTAATTTTAATTAACAAAACTAATTTAATAGTTTTATATTAACATTTGTCCTTGTAACAATTCTATGATTTATTATTATTATTTATTTATATTATTAGTATAAATAATTGCAGAATTTTTGTAAATTATTTTTAACGATTAATAATTTAGAAAACTATATAATAAAAAAAAAAAATAAATAAACTCTCTAAATATAAAATTGTTTTTCAATGTACAAATGGAAAAGTGCATTTGAATCTGGCTCCTGAATTAAAATCTTAGAAAATTATGACAGAAAGAAATGGCGTGGAAAAAAGTATGAGGCCTTGTATCACGAGCATTCCGAGTCGTTGAATTTCCGCGTCGATAAAAGGAAAATAATAATAAAATAAAACTACTATACTGGTGGCGTATATAAGAAAATGTGTCGCGTATCATATACGCGCGTTCCATGAAATGTGATACATTTCGTATATATATATTTTTTTGATATGGGCATATATAGGAGCGTTATATAGAAAAAAAGGTCCCATGAGTCATTCGCTAT